AAAAAACATCTAGGATCACAAAAGAGAAACAAGCAAGCTCAGAATGGTGGCACACAGCTACAGTTTCAGGAGCCTAAAGCACGATTGCTCCAGTCTTAAGAGCTGGAAGCCAGCCTGGTCTCAACAACACTCATATCAAAATTAAATGAATATAAAAATAATATTCCTCTTTTACCGTGCTGAGGATTCAAAAGAATCATATTTATGAAATCTTTGGCATAGTGCCAGGCACATAAACGCGGGGCTGGGGTTTATGATGCAGGTAAAGGTTTCTAGCATCTGGGGTCTGGAGACCCAAGGAGTCCTTTTTGTTAGCGTCACCTTTTGTGTCACGGTTGCTCACTGGGCAAAAAGTTGCCTGAAATAAGTAATTTAGGTCAACTGGGGGAATCTTGCCAACCATATCCCAGGGACGGGGCGGTACCCAGGAGATGGCGCCACAGGGCATCGAAGTCCACCCTCACCCGGGAGACCCGGCGCTTCTGCGGCGCAGGCGCAGTACACTGTGGGCGGCCAGGGGCGTGGCCGGAAACCTCGGGACCACCCACGTGGCGCGGTGCGCAGCCGGCCTGGCCTGTGGTACACCTCCTCCTGGGGGCGGGGCCGGGCACCACACGTGACTCCAACGCCGCCCCGCCCCTTCGGGCGGAGCTTCCTCTTCAAGGCGGACTTAAACCAAGGCCCGCGGAGTACCTCGGGCGCAGTGCTCGTCCGGCTGTGCTGTTCGCGCTCTGTCCCCGCGCTGAGGTGAGTTTCTCCCGCTGCCCGCCCGTCTCGTTCCGGAAGGGGTGGCTTCCAGCTTTCAGTCCTGCGGGCGCCCCGCTTGGACCCGGAGCGCGGATCTTGGAGCCAGCCGCCTGGCCTTCGGATTTCAGCGCTGCCTCTGCGCCTGCCTGATCTCGGATGACTTCCCCGTTTCTCAGAACCTCTTTGCTCGGCGCTGAAATGACAGGAAGAGCCGCACTGTGGCGCGGTGTAGAGAAAGATTTGAATGTGCCCGGCACGTAGAAGGTGGTCTGTAAATTGTAGTTGCCCCCTTGCTCCTGTTTCCTGACCCCCGCTTCCGGAGCTGCGGCTTTCCTTTGGAGGTGCGGCGGGAAGCGGGAGGAGCTCGCTAGCTCAGCGCTTGCCTCGGTCTGGGGAGGCTGGAGCATGTTATTCTTTGGCCCCTGAGCCCTGTCACGGGAGAATGGGGCTGAGCCCTAGCGGAAGGGGCTGCGTTAACTTTTTTTTTTGGTTTTGGTTTTTTTCCGGTATCAGGAATGGAACTCACGACCTTGCGCTTGCCAGGCAGGCGCTGTGCCGCTGAGCTAAATCCCCAGCCCCTGTGTTAACTCTTTTGTTCAGACTATTCACACTCCAGGCTGCAGGACCTCCCTGGAAGAGCTCTGTTCCGATCAGGCCTGTTGCTTTTCCCAGGTCTCAGCTCCTCCTCTCAGTGCCATCCCGTTAGACCCCGTGGAGTTTGCTGGGGATGTAGCTCAGTGGACTAGTGTAGGACGGAGGCTCTGGGTTTTGTCCCCTTCACCCAAAAAGGTACTAAAATGTACTTGATCTTAGCCAAAAGGCCGAGAAGCTATTGGGTACTAAAATGCAATATTCTCCAGGGGTGACTCCGGGTTTCCCAGGAAGTAAAGGAAGAAACAGTGACTTCCTCCAGTATTTTTCGAGTGGGGCGTGGTTGTGCACCCCTGTAATTCAGTAAGATCGCCTTAAACCACATAGCAAGACTTTGTCCCGACCCTGTCTCAATCTTCTCCAAAAGGTTTCTACTGAGCAGACTACAGCTGAGAACTCTCCCCCATTAACTGTGTGTGTGTGTGTGTGTGTGTGTGTATGTGTATGTATATTTTCAGGGAAGTTTTTTGTTTTTGTTTTTGTTTTTCTCCGGTACCGGGAACCGAACTCACGACCTTGCGCTTGCCAGGCAAGCGCCTTTGCCACTGAGCTAAATCCCCAGCCCTCAGGGAAGCTTTTATTTTTACTTATTTACTTTTTTTAGACAGGCTGTCAAACTCACCATGTAGCCCAGACTGGCCCAGAGTCACAGATCCTCTTGCCTCAGCTACCTGTGGGGATTACAGGGGAGCACCAGCACACCCAGTTGGGGAAGGCTTTATATAAACAAAAATGTGGAATGAGAGGCACAAGCCATCAGCACAGTTAAATAAACCAAACCACAGCCAAGTTGAGGACTGGTGGCTCACACTTGTAATACTGGGAAGCTGAGGCAGGAGTATTGAAAGTTTAAGGCCAGTCTGGGCAATTTAGTGAAGTCCTGTCTCAAAAAGAGATAAAGGGCAGATATAGCTCAGCAGCATAAGTGCCTGCCTGGCAAGTGCAAGGTCCTGAGTTTGATTCTCGGCACACACAAAAAAGAGACAGGCAGAGGGAGGAGGGGTGAGGCTGTACCTCAATGGTAGAGCACATCCCTAGCATGTACAAGGCCCCAGGTTTGATCCCCTGTACCGACAAATAAAAATGAATGAATGTAAATAGTAAAATAAAAAATGTAGCTCAGCACTCCCTGGGGTTGATCCCCAGAATCACCACACAAAAAAAGCAAAAAGCCACTGATGAGTGAATATCTGGGAGGAACCAGAAATGTAAAGTGTGAGCTAAAGGATGAGCACCGGTTGGCCAGGCAGAGTTCAGCTGTAGGGAGGGAAAATGTGCAGAGACCTGGAGTCAGCAGGTGTTACTGAGTCTGAACAATTAAGAGATAGAGAATTTAAGAAGGTAGGAGCCAGATTTTTTACATTTTTGGTTTTTGTTTTGGTATGTGTGGTCCTGGGCATTGAACCCAGGGTCTTCCACTTGAACTGTGTCCCCAGCCCACCCGCTCCTTTTTTTTTTTTTTTTTTTTTTTTTTTTTTTTGAGAGAGAAAGGGTCTCAGTCATTAAGTTGCTGGGCCTGGGCTTCACTTTGTGATTCTTCTGCCTCAGTCTCTGAGTGATGAGATTAGTCATGTGCCTGGCTGGGAGCCAGGTTTTGAAGGAGTCTGGGCTTTATCCTGGGAATGGGAGGAAATTGAACTTGAGCCTGGGAGTCCTGTGGTTGGGTTTGGTGAGTGGATTGGGACAAGAAGCCACACTGGAAGCAGAGAGGGGCCTGGTTTAGGTTCCAGACGATGGTGGTCAGAGCTGTGGGAGTGGAGCGGAAGTACATGTGGACAGACTGGAGACAAATTTAGGAGTTACACCTTTTATTCAGTCGGCAGAGCTTGAGCTAAGCAAGTGCTGTGCCACTCAGGTACACCTCTAGCCACAAGTACATATTTTTAAGTCTGGTTTTGCAAGTGCATAAGCCTATGCTCAGCTGCTTGGGAAACTGAGGTGGAAGATCACTTGAGCTCAGGAGTTCAGGACTACCCTGGGCAATGTGTGAAGCCCTTATCTAAAAAGAAAGTAGTAGATCTTCCAGGATCTCACTAGGTAGTTCAGAACTCACTATGTAGCCTAGGCTGTTGGCGAACTCATGACGATCTTTCTTTCTCAGCCTCCCAAGTGCTCGGATTACGAGACATGTGCCTCCACGTCCGGCTTGGAGCTGGGGATGTAGCTCAATAGTAAAGTGCTTCTCCAGCATACTGGAGGTCCCGGTTTTGATTCTCAACGCTGAAGAAAAAAGAATGAAAGGAAAACATACAGAAATTATTATTGCAGGCCTAGATATTACCTTGTATTTTAGAGCAATCGGTATCTTTTTCTATATTTACAAGTATTAACAGAATTTTTAACGCAGCCAAACAGAACAAGTCTGGGCTAATGTTACATATTTAAAGTGGTTTTCCAAGTTGGCTTCTTTAGAAGTACAGGGAAAAATAATGCGCCTCTCCTCTACCACTAATCAAAACCATAATCTGATAATACTCTGAAATGCCTCAAGGAACTGCAAATAACTTTTTTTTCCTTTATGAAATTTATTTGTTTATTTGCAATGCTGAAGAACCAACTCAGGACTTCTAACTTGCTAGGCAAATTCTGTCACTAACTCATATCCCCAGCCCAGCTTTTTATTTTTTAAAGTAGATTTGAGGGCTGGGGATATAACCCAGCAGCACAGCGCCTGCCTGGCAAGCACAAGGTTCTGAGTTCCTTTCCCAGTACCAAAAAAAAGTAAACTTTAACGCCCGACATGGTATTGCATGCCTATATTCCCAGCACTCAGGAGGCTGAAGCAGGATGATTGCCATGGGTTCTAGGCCAGCCTGGGCTACATAAGCAAATTCCAGGTCAGCCTGCACTACATAGAGAGACCCTGTCTCAAAAAGACAAAAATAAAAAAAATTTAAAATGAATTCTTTTTGAAGCTGGAATCAAACTTAGGACTTCCTGCTTGCCAGGCAGGTGCTGTGCCGCGGAGCTATATCCCTGGCCCCCCAAAAAAGTTTTTATGGCACTGGGGATTGAACCTAGGACCTCAGATATGCTAGGCAGGTGCTATAGCACTGAGTTACATTCTCAGACCATTTTTTTGGCGGTGCTAGAGGTCAAACCCAAGGCCTAGTGCATGCTAGGCAAGCACTCCACACTCTACTATCCTTCCAGCTCCCTTACATAGCAACTTTTTATGTTTGTAATTTTTTTGGCACTCAGCTATATTCCTAGTCTTGTTTTATTTTTTGAGATAAGGTCTTACAAAGGCACTAAGAACTTACTATGTATCCCAGGCTGGCCCCAAACTGGCAGTGCTCCTGCCTCAGCCTCCTGAAGTGCTGGAGTATAGGCCTGTGCCTCCATGCCTGGCTTACATAGCTTTACAAAGTGGCCAGGGATAGTAGTGTGAACATATTGTCTCTTTTCCTTGGATCCCTGGTGAAATAGAATATACAGAAAGAAGAGATTGGGTTAGGCACTGTGCAAAGTGCTTTAGATATAGTACCTCCCCTCTCACCCACACTTGCAGAGCATAGCATGTACTAGGCAAGTGATCTACCACCGGGCTACATCCTTGGACTTTTTTCCTTTTTTATTCATGTATTTATGTGTGCATGCTGTACTGGAGATTCAGCCTAGGGTCTTTGCACATCCCAAACTCTTTCCTTATTTTTTTTCTTGAGACAGGGTCTGGCTAAGTTTCCCAGGCTGAGCTCAAACTTGCCATCCTCCTGCCTCAGCTTCCCAAGCAGGTGGGGTTGCAGGCATGCACCACTGTGCCTGGCTTTAGATATAGCATCTCTTGAAAATAGAGGAGCTGGTATTCAACCCAAGTCTGTGGAGCCCTAGAGCCTGAACTGTTTCCTGTGCATCTCCTGCTGGGTCTGATGAGCGCAGTTATGCACATGTTGACACCTGTGAATGTGCGGAGAGAGCAGAATATACAGAACTGGGGTGGGAAGAGTCAGTCAGGGCTCAAGGTGATGGCTGAAGATAGAAACTTGAGTAGGGAGTGAGAAGGGGATTGGGGCCCAAACCCCGAGGGCACCACCATTTGTGAGAGGTGGGGGAAGGCCCATGTGGCCAGGAAACATCCGTGTAAACACTATTCCCCTCTTGTCCTGAGTTTCCTGGACCCTTCCTTTGAGAAAGGAAAACTGCATTCCAGAGAAAAGGAACCAGCCCAGTGAGGTGGCTCATGCCTGTAATCCTGGCGCTCTGGGAGGCTGAGGCAGGAGGATTGCCACAAGATGGAGGTCAGCCTAGACTACATAGGGAGACCTTGTCTGAAAAAAACAAAACAAAAACAGAAGGAACCAAGCTACTGCATGGGAATAATAAACAGAGTCTTGAAACTTTTATTCTACTTGCCCACCACACCCACACGTATCCTCTCTCACACTCAAGGATAATGGGGTTTCTGAATGCTGCAGAGAGCCAGCTGGACACTCCCTCACAAGGGCAGAGTCCAGTCTAATGCAGGGCTAGGCTGAAGAGCTGTTCCCTCAGGCAGAAGATCGGGAAGTACCACACTGGCTGAGGGTGACCTTGTGACTTCAGCAAACACCTGTCTTCTGCTGCAGCCCCTCCCACCTCCCTTGGGGTTCTTGTTTGCAGATCTTCCTGCCAGTTTGATCCCCACCCCGCCCCTCAAGCCTGGCCCCTTGGGTTTTCAGTTTCACCCGCAAAAGAAAGGGAGAAACAAGCTTCAGGTTTCTTTTCCTTTTCCCTGTCAGCAAGGCTTTTGTTCAAGCTCCCAGCCCAGGTGTAATTTCAGAGCCCTCCATGGGCTCTGTGGGAACTCCAGGAGAGGCCCCAGCTTATAGTTTGGACAGGCCCAGGACCCTGTTCAGAGATCCTTGTGGCAGTAGCATCTCCTGTGAGGTCCAGACACACTTGCTGAATCCCTGCAGAGTTTTGGCTACAGAGACTGTTGCCCTCAGCAGTCTGTGGTTTGCTGCCCACGTGGAAGAGTTTGTTATTGTCTTAGTAGAATGAAGTGGTTTCCACGACCAGGTTATATTAGATTATAAAATTCTTCCTGGGGTCAGAAGTATTAGGAAAGTCATTTTTGGTGTACTGCAACCTGCTCTACCATATGTCTTTTAAAACTTGGAAACAAAGGTCATATTTATAAAGGAATTGTTGGCAATGAAATCGGTGCCAGGAGATTTCATGTTTATAGTACTGATAAGATGAAGAGGAAGGGTTGTTTCTCCTTTATTGCCTCTTGGGGTGAACATTTTTCTTAGATTTCCTTTTTTTTTGAGACAAGGTCTCATTATGTAGTGGAGGCTGGCCTTGAATTGACTGTGTAGCCCAGGCTGGCCTCCAACCCACTGCAATCCATCCTGCCTCAGCCTCCCCAGTGTGGGGATTACAGGTGTGCCTGCGCCACCACACCCAGTTTATTCATTCCTTTTTAAAGACTTGACTCAGGCATCACTGAAGAAAACATCCTAGCTGAGTTGCTCTTTCTTTTTTTTTTTTTTTTCTT